TACAGTAGACCAGAAGGCAGAAATCTTTGGGCATCCCCACCAACAGTGTATAAAATACCATATTTGGCCACAGCCTTTCCAACAGATAGGATTCACCTTAAATTTACATCGAAATAACTGCATAGGTATCATAAACCATCTAGAATATATTTTAAAATCTTGTAGCCTTATATTTAATGATTTGGTAGCATAGACATATGGAGCTGCGGTGGCTCAAGTGGTTAAGACGCTGAACTGCAGGCTGTGGAAGGTCAGTAGTTCAGCGGTTCAAGACCCGGGTGCCGCAAGACAGGGTGAGCTCCTGTCTCTAGTTCCAGCTCCTGCCAACCTAGCAGTTCGAAAGCAAGAAATTGCAAGTAGATAAATAGGGACCCCTTCGGTGGGAAGGGAACAGCGTTCCGTGCACCTTGGTGTTTAGTCATGCTGGCCACATGACCACGGAAACGTCTTCGGACAGCGCTGGCTCTTCGGCTTTGAAACGGAGATGAGCACCGCAACCCTAGAGTCGGATTCGACTGGCTTTCGAGCAAGGGAACCTTTGCATAGACATGGTTTTTGCCATTTCCCAAATCTTGGTCGCCATGGTGCGTAATTTTATTCCAAGATTTCAGGAATTAAGAGTTAAGCAGCAACTGATCAGTTAGAAGGGCTTATATGCGATCGCTCAGCAAAATAACCATTGGGGCAAAGAAGAATTAGGCCCGAGAACTTTATCAACCAATTATTTAACGCTTTCCAAAAATGTTTCAAACAAGTTATAGCATCCCCCATCAAGAATGGAAAGAAAATCCAATATGTAATAATTACATCTCTGACAAATGCTTTTTGGTAAATTGCATACATGGTACTGTCTCCATGGGGCATTCCCCCACAGTTACAATTCTGCATTGGTTTTCTGTTTCTACGGTCAAGGCCAGTATAAAAATAGCTTCCGTGGCGATCATTTAAAATCTTTTTCAGCTGTATTTTAATATATGAATTTTATACTGATCCTGAAGCTTCTTGTTAAAATTCAGATATTCCATGGCTAAGATAACGACCCTTCTGGATTAATAATAATTTTTTCCAGTCACCTCATTTTATCTTTCTGCAATCTTTTGATTACCACACGCAGAACTTAACGTCCAGGTTTTGAAGCAATGAGTTGTTGTTTGTACTTGGTTTTTAGTAGTCATACACGGTCTCTCGGTTAACCACATTAATTAAAAGAGCAGTTCGATGCTGCTGTATCTGCTTTCCCAGTATATCGGTGTTGATCTCCTGAAAACAAAAGTCTGAACAAGGTGCAGCGTCTGAGAGTTCTGGAGAGACCTGTTGCTGAAACACGATGATGAACGCGGTCACTGGGTTTAATTAATTTCCAAGACTTAACAGATAACACTGATACGGAATTGGCTCTTCTCTTTTTGTAGAAAAAGCCCAGCAGGAACTCATTAGCATAATAGGCCACACCCAACACCAGAAACTCATTAGCATATTAGGCCACGCTCCTGCCAGCACAGCTCATTAGCACATTAGGCCGCACCCCCATGTTACCAGAAGTGTGGTCATCCAGCCACACCCACCTTTTGCTTGTTATTCTGTTTACCTTGTTTGTTGTCAAAACCCAGGGCCTTTTTTTGTAGAAGGAACTCCTTTGCATGTTAGGCCACACACACCCTAATGTAGCCAATCCTAATGAGTTTCTGCTGTTGGGTGTGGCCTATTATGCTAATGAGTTCCTGCTGGGCGTGGCCAACTTGGGAGCCAGCCGGAACTCCGTTCCTGTGCGTTCTCCTGCCCCAAAATAGCCCTGGCTCTTCTGAAATTTCACTTAGCTTTGGAAAGCCCTAAAATATGGATGTCGGTTTAACCTGTTTACCACATATGTTCTTGGATAAAACAACTGTATCGTAGGGCTTTGCCAATTTGTTGGCGGCAGAATATGCTATCAAGTCATAGATGAGGGTTTTCAAGGCAAGGGGCGTTCAGAGGTGGTTTGCCATCGTCCGCCTCCATGTCACAACTCTGGTAACAACATCAGAAGAGCCCTGCTGGATCAGACCAGTGATCCATCTATTCCAGCATCCTGCCTCACACAGTAGCCAACCGGTTCCTCTTAAGGGCCAACAACAGGGCAGAGAAGATGAGGCCTTCCCCTGATGTTGCCTCCTGGCTCTGGGATTCAGAGGCTTAGTGCCTCGGAATGTGGAGGTTCCCCTCAGTCACCATGATTAGTAGCCATAGATAGACTTATCCTCCATGAATCTTATCTAACCTCCTGTGAAAGCTCTTTGTTCCCGTGGTCGTCACTACATCCTCTGGGCAGCGAATTCCATATTTTAATCACTCTCCGTGTAAAGTAGTATTTCCTTTTGTCCGTCCCGAACCTCCTGCCCATCAAGTTTCTTTAGATCGGTTTCATTGGCGTCTCCCATCCAAATGCTAGCTAGGGCCAAGCTCGCTTAGCTCCTGAGATCTGATGTGATCAGGCTGGCCTATAAATGGGAAAGCACCATCAATCATAGCCTTTTGGCTCAGATGTTTTATGCATGGGAACTGCCTTGGAATTAAGATCATAGGGAGAGGCCTTCCCAGCCATCCCATCAATCAAAGAAGCTCATTTGGTGGGTCCAAGACAGAGGGCCTTTTTAGCAGGAGCTCTACAATTCTGGAAGACCCTCCCCATGGGGGGGTGTCTGATCCCCCGCGCTTCCAGTCTTCAGGAGGCAGTTGAGGACGTTTTCATGTAGGACCGCATTTGGTTAAGTTTACTAGCAGTCCCAACTCCCGAGCTGCGATCTTAACACTTTTGGCTTTTATGTTTTTAATGTGTTTTATCCTGTGTGTTTTATCTATGTTGTAAGCTGTCCTTGCGCTCTGTAAGGAGGAAAGGCGGCTGACAAAGGTTTTAAATAAATAAATAAATAAATGTGTCTTATTTTATTCTCCCATTGATCATAATCGGTCTGATCAGCGGAGCGGCTCCTCATAGCATTATCAGTCAGATTTTGTGGTTTCAGTCCATTAGATATGTTACGCCTCCCGTGCCGTTTACACCAAGCGTGTTGAAGACAAGCAGTTGTCGTCAATGCCCCCTCTAAGCTGTGGAGACTTGTGAGCAAAAATGCTACTTTTGTGAGCATACTGGCATTAAAGTGGTGAGCGAGCGATTTGGCTACTGCATAAATGAGTTTGCTCTGGAGCCATCCTTCCTGAGCTGAGGCAAAGATGTGTGAGCCAGAGGCTAAAAAACTGTGAACTAGCTCTCACTAACTCAGCTTAGAGGGAACACTGGTTGTCGTGTATAGTGTCTGTCCCGCCAGCACCGCATATGGCTTAAGGTACTTGCGTGTTGTTGCACTTTCAAACATCTGTTCTTGGTTTCCATAAGTGCTTCAGTGAGCCGTGCTGATTAGACACGAAAGACATCTTTGTCAACCTTCTTCAGTCTAGGAATGATGTCCAGAGCAATCCTGTGCAGAGTTACTCCAGTCGAAACCCGTCGGCTTCAATGGACTTACGCAGGAGTAACTCAGCACAGAACTTCACTGTGAGATTTTTGTCTCCTAGAATTGACAGCCCTGCGCATAGGGAAAGTAAGGCTGAGAAAATTATGATGCCTATATTAGTACCTTCTTGATGCGGGTCACGTTTCTGAGCTGTACTAAAGGAAAAGCACTGCCCGGCTCTTCTTAGCATCTTCAGAATTCTCTGCTGTCCATCCATTCTGAGCTACGCTTCTCCTGGTTCAGTGTCTCCTCCCAGACCAGTGTATGAACCACGGCGAAATATCCGAGTGTCTGCTGTTCTGTGGAAGGAGCGGCATCTTTTTGTAGTGGGGCTTTTGTGAAAGCTTCTGGTTGGTTAATGTACGGGCAACTGTGCAGTGATCTGCCTGCCACTTCCTTGTGGTGCTCGACATTCCATAGTGCTTTCTGTATGTGTGTGGTGGTCAGCCCCATAGACAGGAAATTTTCCAGCTGGGGGCTTTGGGGTTGGGAGGGGGATTGTGCCCCCCCACGTGGTGAGGTCACTAATGACGTCACCACGAGTGGCTCTCCTTCAAGGAGGGCTCGCTGCCCTGCCTCTTGACTGCCTCCTTGGCTCTCCAAGCAGATGCATTGAGGCGCCAGGGCAGGCCTTTAGAGAATGGCCCGCCGCAGCACCTCACTGCATCTGTGCCAGCCAGTGATTCTCCAGTGGCCCACCCCGGCACCTCACTGTGTCTGTACCAGCTAGCCAGTGAGTTGGCTGTCAGAAAGCCAACTTGCTGGCTGGCGCTGGGACTCCCCTTAATCTATAGTGGGCACAGCCCCCTAAAGCCCCACTGCTGGCTATGGCCCTGTTGGAGGTACTTGCTGGCACTGAGTACTGACACCTTTCCAGGGGCGCTCCCAAGTCCTGATGGGGGAATTGGTGTAAATGGATGCAACCTGGAGCCATTGGAAACTGAACGTGTTATGGCCCTGCGTTACAACGTTGGTGCATGGCCTTCTTGCTTCGGACCATATATACTAACTGCCACCACCTGTACTTGTTAACATACAAGTAAATTGCTGGTTTTGTGAGTTTTGTCAATTTTAATGTATTTATTGTTTTATCTATATTATCATGTATGCCGCCTTGAGCCAGTTTGCCCTGGCTAGGCGGGATATAAATCTAAAGTAATAAATAATAAATAAATAACCTTACATATGAATACTGGCACCTTTTTAAGCAAAAATAAACTGTGTGTATCCCTATATCTGTGGAGTCTGCATGTGTTATGTGCCTCCAAGTCATTGCCTTCCACTTTACCTAGCAAGTTGTCTTTTCCAGTGACTCTGGTCTTCTCATGAAAGTACAATAGCCTCAGTTTAGTCTTTTTAGCTTCTAGGGAGAATTCAGGCTTGCATTGTATACACACAGAGAAAAGATTCTCTTGCTCTGTCTCTCTACAGGAAGGAGAGCAGTGACCCAAGACATGCACGTCCGTAAAATATTTCCTTGGTCAACTCTGTTACTTTTTCTTCATGCAGATAGCCTGCCTTACTCGATACGGGTACTGTTGGAAGCTTCCGTTCGTAACTGGGACGGCTTCCTAGTGAAAGAAGAAGATGTGATGAATATCTTGGACTGGAAAGCAAAACAGAATAATGTCGAAGTGCCCTTCTGTCCTGCCAGAGTCCTCCTCCAAGACTTTACGTAAGTCTCATTTTAACTAGCTCTCATGATCTCTTCCAGCAGTGCAGTCTCTGAACGTCCAGGGTGGGGCCCCCATCGACCCAAGACATGCACGTCTGTAAAATATGTCCTTGGTCAACTCTGTTACTTTCTCTTCATGCAGATAGCCTGCCTTACTCTATACGGGTACTGTTGGAAGCTTCCGTTCGTAACTGGGACGGCTTCCTAGTGAAAGAAGAAGATGTGATGAATATCTTGGACTGGAAAGCAAAACAGAATAATGTCGAAGTGCCCTTCTGTCCTGCCAGAGTCCTCCTCCAAGACTTTACGTAAGTCTCATTTTAACTAGCTCTCATGATCTCTTCCAGCAGTGCAGTCTCTGAACGTCCAGGGTGGGGCCCCCATACTGTTTAGATAGTCACCGCCAGTCTAAACTTACACGCATAGTTAAACTTCTGACTGTCTTGTTCGAGTGAATGTCTGTTTAAGAAAAGCCAACGGGGCATTGTTTGTATTTGTTCTGCCTGCACCACACCAAAAATGGCTCAAGGGACACTTGAAAACTGGAGACGTTCCAGAGAAATGTTTAAGTTTGCGTGCTTGCATTGCTTTCTGACATAATGATTTTACTGTCTCCCTGCACGCACGCATGTTGCAGTGGTGGTAGGTAGCTGGGTCCGTATCTTGCTTGTGCTGAATGTAAGATTGAGGCCGTTTACAAACTCTAAAATACAAACACATAAAGCTTTTAAAGGTATAGATTTTGAAAGCAGCTTTAAAAAAAAACATTTTAAAGAATTTGAAAAGGTATCTGAAATCCATGATCAGATGCTTAAGTTTGTCTCCAGAAAGCCAGATGGGGTAAGTAATGCTCCCTCTAAGCTGTGGAGTCCTGTGAGCAAACATTCTGCTTTGCGAGCTACTGGCATTAAAAGTTGTGAGCGAGCGATTTGGCGACTGCATAAATTAGTTTGCTCTGGAGCCAGCCTTCCTGAGCTAAGAGGAGGAGGAGGAGACAAGGCCGTTTACAAACTCTAAAGTACAAACACATGAAGCTCTTAAAGGTATAGATTTTGAAAGCAGCTTTTTAAAAACACACACATTAATCTTAAAGAATTTGAAAAGGTATTTGAAATCCATGATCAGATGCTTAAGTTCGTCTCCAGAAAGCCAGATGGGGTAAGCAGTGCTCCCTCTAAGCTGTGGAGTCTTGTGAGCAAAAATTCTGCTTTGCGAAATTGCGAGCTACTGGCATTAAAGTCGCGATTTGGCGACGGCATAAATTAGTTTGCTCTGGAGCCAGGCTTCCTGAGAAAAGGCAAGAAAGTGTGAGCCGGAGGCTAAAAAACTGTGAGCCAGCTCACACTAACTCAGCTTAGGGGGAACACTGGTGGTAAGATTGAGATGAGATGGCATTAAAGATGTAGAATTTTTATATGTGTTTTATCAGCAAAAATGGAAGCCACCAGTTGAATCCAGATGAACTTTTCCGCTAACAGAAGAACATGAGAAGAGCCCTGCTGAATCACACCAATAGTCTATCCAGTCCAGCATCCTGTCTAGCGCAGTGGCCAGCCCATTCCTTTGGACAGCCGACAACAGGGCATAGAGGCCTTCCCCTGATGTTGCCTCCTGCTTCTGGGATTCAGAGGATTAGCGCCTCTGAATGTGGAGGTTCCCCTCAGTCACCGTGGTTAGGAGACACTGATAAATTTATCCTCCATTATCTACTCCCCTTTTAAAACCGTCTATGACTGTGGCCGTCACTGCAGCCTCTGGCAGCGAAAGGGAGAGGTGCATTTCTGTCAATTCCCTCTTTCCTGTTGCAGACCACCAGTTTGCTCCCCGAGCCATTCGTAATGCCCCCCCCATCTCTCAGGAGCTGCGTTTCAAGGAGATCAATGGGCTGCAGAAGGAGTGTGGAGAGGGAGGCAGAAATTTATTTATTTACTTACTTACTTTATACATATCCCGCCTTTTTGACAACAACTCTTATTTGTCTTACTATGGAAGGGTATGTTTCTTAGATTGTAGTTCCTCCTGCATGTAAAGTTTTTGAGATATCTAGGGATATTCTGTAAACCAGGGATGTCGAACTCATTTGTTATGAGGGCCGGACCTAACATAAATGAGACCTTGTTGGGCTGGGCCATGTGTGTCATAAAATGCAGTGCCAGGTAGTGGAGATTTAAACTTTATAAAGGACACAAACACAAAGGGCTTTCCCCCCCCTTAAAATAAAAACGTGCTTAAAACATTAGCAGTCTTGCAGTATTTAGTTTATTTAATAGTGTCTGATATCTGACATGTCTTGCTCTGAATTATTGCATCAAAATGTCTGTGGTGTTGCAATCTTGAGTATGCTGTTGAGGTGTGTCTCTGTAAGCTGCAAACCTACGATTGCGAAGCAGCAGCAGAACTGGAAGAAGAAGCAGAAGACAGCCAGTTCCACTGTGGACCTGATAGGAGCCCTCTCGGGGCCTGATCCGGCCCCTGGGCCACATGTTTGACACCCTTGCTGTAAACAGTGGCAGTGTTCACTAATAGTCTTTTTTAACAAAAAAAATTTTTTTGATGGGTCCAGGAGTCCTAAGAGAACAGTGTAACCTTTTGCTATCTGCAATGCATTGTCTTGAAACTTTTGGGGCTTTGAGGGAGTGGGGGTTAAATCTGTTAAACACGTTCTTCGTGAGAATGCTCTGTTTCCCGTAAATCTCTCATGGGACGTTGGAGAGTTTGTACAGCGCCAGTGTCCTTAGCATTAAAGGATCTCTGTGTCCCTTGCTCCTTTTTCTCCCCCCAGTGGGATTCCCGCGATGGTGGACTTTGCTGCAATGAGAGAAGCTGGCCGAAGACAGCCACACTGCGGGCCTGACAGAAGCCCTCTGGGGGACTCATCCAGCCCCCGGGCTGCATGTTAGACACCCCTGCTGTGAACAGTGGCAGTGTTCACTAATAGTCTTTTTTAACAAAAAAAATTTTTTTGATGGGTCCAGGAGTCCTAAGAGAACAGTGTAACCTTTTGCTATCTGCAATGCATTGTCTTGAAACTTTTGGGGCTTTGAGGGAGTGGGGTTAAATCTGTTAAACACGTTCTTCATGAGAATGCTCTGTTTCCCATAAATCTCTCATGGGATGTTGGAGAGTTTGTACGGCACCAGTGTCCTTAGCATTAAAGGATCTCTGTGTCCCTTGCTCCTTTTCCTCCCCCCAGTGGGATTCCCGCGATGGTGGACTTTGCTGCAATGAGAGAAGCTGTGAAAAATCTCGGAGGAGATCCCTCCAGAGTCCATCCTGCCTGCCCAACAGATCTCACCGTGGACCATTCTTTGCAGATCGACTTCAGTAAATGGTACTTATTGTGAAGCTAGAGCTTGCGGTTTCTTTTGACTTGGAGGGGGGGGGGGGAATGTCACTGGTGGTTGATCCCCAGAACGGCCACAGAAGAACCTGTCAGAATTCCTAATTTTCTTTCTTGCTGTATGGTGTGGAATTATCTCACCCCATCCGTGATGATGACGGGCACTCCTTGTGTCTCCCGTGAAATCTGCCTGGTCCCCAGTGGTTGATGTCCAGGAGCCAGGAGTATTTGTTTCTCCATTTCAATTCAAAGGAGCTGCGGTGGCTCAAGTGGTTAAGACGCTGAACTGTAGGCTGTGGAAGGACGGTAGTTCAGCAGTTCGAGACCCGGGTTGCCGTATGACGGAGTGAGCTCCCGTCTCTAGTTCCAGCTCCTGCCAACCTAGCAGTTTGAAAGCAAGAAATTGCAAGTAGATAAATAGGTACCACTTCGGTGGGAAGGGAACAGCGTTCCGTGCGCCTTGGTGTTTAGTTATGCTGGCCACATGACCACGGAAATGTCTTCGGACAGCGCTGGCTCTTCGGCTTTGAAACGGAGATCAGCACCGCAACCCTAAAGTCGAATTCGACTGGCTTTCGAGCAAGGGAACCTTTACCTTTCAGTTATACACCGTCTTTCTCTCCAGTGGGGACCCGGAGTGGCTTATGCTGTTCTCCTTTCCTCTGTTTCGTTCCCTCAAGAACCCTGTGAGGTAGATTTGGGTGGGGTAGCTGTGTTGGTCTGAAGCGGCAGGACAAAGTTTGAGCCCAGTGGCACCTTAAGAGCGCGGATTCCGTGCTTGATTCCCCACTCCTCCACATGCAGCTGCCGGTGTGACCTTGGCTCAGTCACAAGTTCTCTCAGAGCAGTCCTCGAAAGAGCTTTCTCAGCCCCACCTACCTCACAGGGTGTCTGTTGCGGGGTAAGGGAAAGGAGATGGTAAGGTCAGGAAATGGTGATTTTAAGCTGACATCCCAGCTCGGTGTGCTCCTTTAGTGCTGTGCGCAACGCCTGCTTCGGGAGAGGAGATCAAAGTGTAAAACAAGCCTCCGAGGCTTGATCACACCAATCCCAACTCTCACTTGGGTCTTGATGCCTGCCAGTCATTCCCCCTGCCTGGGGGAAGCCGCATTGGACAAATAAATTGTCCAAACTGCTGAAAGGAACCACCGTCCACCCTGACCACCGTCCCCCCTGAGCACCTACAGGGTGCGTCAAATCGCCATTTTACCCCGACCGGAAGCGGGTGGGGTATAAATCCAATCTCCTCCTCCTCCTTCTTCTTTAAGACCAGCAAACATTTATTCAAGGGATAAGCTTTCACATGCATGCACACTCCTGAAGTGTCCCTGCACACGAAAGCGTACACCTCGAATAAAACTTTGTTGGTCTTAAAGGTGCCCCACTGGATTCCATCTTCATCCTGCGAGGTCGTTAAGGCTTAGAGTTTGTGACTGGTCCAACGTCACCCCTCGGGGGGGGGGGGGGTTTAACGCTGGTTCTTCAACTCCCC